AAAAAGTGGCAGGAAGGATTCCCTGGTGGCGCAGTGGTTGAGAGTCCGCCTGCCGATGGAGGGAACACGGGTTCGTGTCCCGGTCCGGGAAGATCCCACATGCCGCGGAGCGGCTGCACCCGTGAGCCATGGCCGCTGAGCCTGCGCGCCCGGAGCCTGTGCTCCACAACGGAAGAGGCCACAGCAATGAGAGGCCCGCGTACCGCAAAAAAAAAAAAAAAAAAAAAAAAAAAGTGGCAGGAGTAGGAGGGTCACTCTGTGCCCTTCTTACCTGAAACAGGTCATAAAACTCCCATGTGAAAAGTACCCTCCCTGTACTAGGAGGAAGGAGGACTTTCTTGTCACCAGGACAGGGAATTTGGGACCGAGGCTGTATAAACAAACTGCGTTAAACTAACCCTTATCTTCCTAGTTACTTCTTCACCATTTACTACTCCTAGCCCAAACCCCTTTGTGTTGTTAATTCTTCACACATTTATTATTTGTCTAAGGGATATAAAATCTTCCTGCTCTGGTCACTTCTTCAGGTCTTCATTCTCTTGTGAAGAATTTAATAAAAATTTAATAAAAGTTGTATGCAGTTCTCTTGTTAATCTGTCTTTGTCAGTTTAATTTTCATACCCAGCCAGGAGCCGTAAGAGGGAAACTTTTTCCTCCTCTCCAGTGCCTCAGCCAAGGCCCCCTTATTCATTTCTCCCACACTCCTGGCTCCTTTGTTCCTGGTTTTGCAGGTGGGAAGACAGTGTGGAGCGGGTGTGGGGCTCGTTGGAAGCAGGGGCAGAGACAGAACCCCCAAGAGACCTGCTGAGTTACCCTGTTACCTAATCCAATTCTCTGCGCACGTTCAGCCACCTCCCCGCCCTCTGCATAACAATGGAAGGAAAGAGGAAGTGGGAAAGAATAAGGTCATCTAATTGAGTTAGAAGGGTAATTACCAGGACCCTGGAGCAGAGGTAAAGTAGCTCCCAGAATGAAGGGCTAAAGACAGCCCACAAAGATGAAGCGTGGGGAAATTAGTAACAAATATTCACTTGTGCAGGGAAGCAAAAAAGTAAAAAACCTCAGCGCTGAATTGCACAGGCACTGGGGAAAGCTGAGGTAGGCAGCCAGGTCTGAGCCGAGGCAGGATCGGGAGAGGAAGAGAGAAAACTACAAGCCAGGCCGGTATTTCACGGCGGCTGCCATGGCCTAGTATTGAGTATCGGTGTCGCAAGGGAAGGATGAGTCAGTGCCACCAGATTCAAGTTTAGGGCAAAAGCCACTGGGAAGGCACTGGGCAAACATATTTCCTGTGAGAGGGCTCGCTGACTATCCAGTGAGGAACCTCAGCCAGATGAGGGAAACTAGAGGGGCCCTGGGCCCTGCGGAAGAGCTCCTTCTCGGGGAGGGTGAGAGTGAGGTGCCCTGTTAACCCCCCTTGGCTTCCCCTGCAGGAAGTTTCAGCGGGGAATGCCGCCCGTCGGTTTCACAGAGCTGTCTAAAGCCAGGGTTGGCATAGCGCAGAGGGCAAAGTGGTGACTAACAGATGATGTGGTGACTGTCACATCTTGCTTGCTGCAGGAGGCAAGGAAGCACGCTCTGAAACTAAAGAACACTCTTGGTCACGGGCATGGCTGTAAGTGCAGTGTGTGCCTCACGGGAGAGAGTGAGGAACGGTGGGTGTGGGGATCGGCCAACTGGCATCAGGTTCCTCTGAGGAAGGTAAGTTCCACCACCCCATCCTGACATTCAGAGCTGTTGAAAGGATGGCAGGACCAGCTTGCATCACTCAGCCGAGGTCTGCAGGGAAAGATAGAAAGTTATCCTGGGCGGATATTGGCCCACTGTAAGAGCTGTTCACAGTGGCTGAGGAGCCAATTGTATTGCGTGTTAGGGAAAGATTGCCATCTTTGGAGGAAGTTTGTGACAGGTGACTTTGCTTATATGGTTTTGGGGCAGGCGGTTGTTTTGTTTCTTTGTGGGTTTTTTTTTTTTTGTCCATGCCTTGCGGTTTGTGGGATCTTAGTTCTCCCACCAGGGATCGAACCCGTGCCCCCTGCAGTGGGAGCTCAGAATCCTAACCACTGGACAGCCAGGGAATTCCACTAAATGTGCCATGTTAACTAACCATTTAAAAAAATATTTATTTATTTTCCTTAATTTTTTGGCTGCATCGGGTCTTAGCTGCAGCACACAGGATCTTCGTTGAGGCATGCGGGATCTTTTGTTACGGTGCGTGGTCTCTTCGTTGCAGCACTCGGGCTTCTCTCTAGTTGCTACACTCTGGCTTCTCTCTAGTTGTGGCACACGGGCCCCAGGGCGGTGGGCTCTGTAGTTTGTGGCATGCGGGCTCTCTATTTGAGGCGTGTGAGTTCAGTAGTTGTGGTGCACACGGGCTTAGTTGCCCCGAGGCATGTGGGATCTTGGTTCCCTGACGAGGGATCGAACCGGGATCGAACCTCAGTCCCCTGCATTGGAAGGCGGATTCTTTACCACGGACCACCAGGGAAATCCCTTAACTAACCATTTTTAAATTGTACAATTCAATGACATTACTTACATTAACAATGCTGTACAACCGTCACCACTATCTCTCTCCAAAACTTTTTCATCACTCTAAACAGAGCCTCTGTACTCATTTCTGTGCTTGTTTTTCCTCTAGAATATATTGGTCCCTGTGCTGACAGAGTCATGCCTGGTAAGTCATGCCTAGTCAAGAGGTCTCCTCACCTGAGTTTCTTTCATCACAGGGTTGCTGTGAGTTCTTCTGCACTGTACTTTTTCCCTCCATATGCACACCTATTTCAACAAAGCAGATATTAATCAAACCACCCCAAAACTTGCTGCTTATTACTACAACCCTTTCACTTGCTCACAATTCTGTGAGTCATCAATTTGAGCAGAGCTTAGCTGGGCTTTTCTTCTGCTATTATCAGCTAGGGTCATTCATGCCACTGCAGTCTTCTGTTGGCTCAACTAGAGCTGGATGCTGTATAATATGGCCTCTTTCTATGAATGAGACATTCAGTGTCTGGCGCTGGCTGCGGGCTGGGTGGTATATGTCCAGCATGCTACCTGGGCAGCTGGGTTCCAAAAGCAGCAAGGGAGAGAGGTCAAGACCCACTGTGCAAACATCTTTAAAGCTGCTGCCAGAATCATCTTTGCTCACGTCCCATCATCCACAAGTCACATGGCGAAGCCCAGAGTCAGTGTGAGAGGGGACTTAAAGAAAATACAGATACAGGTAGGCATGGTTCGTTGGGGTCATTACTGTAACAATAAGCCACACCTACATACTATTTTGCATTTTTTTAAGATTTATTTATTTATTTGCCCGTGCCAGGCCTTAGTTGCAGCACACTGGATCTTCTAGTTGCGGCATGTGGGATCTAGTTCCCTGACCAGGAATCAAACCCCGGCCCCTTGCATTGGGATCGCGGAGTCTTAACCACTGTACCATCAGGGAAGTCCCCTGTTTTGCATTTTGATTTCTCACTTAACAGTATATTTATTTTCCAAGTTGATATAGTTCTTATAATTACATTTGTAATGACTACACAATAGCCAATCAAAGGATTGCCAAAATGTACTTAATCATTATTACTTAATCATTATTACTCTATATTTACATTTGTTTTAATTTTCACTATTATAAATAATTCATTAGTTAAACAGATATTTATGAGTACCTACTATGTGTAAGGAGTTATTCAAGGGCGCTAGGGACACAATTTGCTTTGATTCTTTGGGAGGGGTGGGGAGGAAACACAGACAAACACATGAATATATAATATGTACTATGAAGAGAAGCAGGGAAAGGAGATTAGAGCCTGGCGGATGGGGGTGGAGGGCTGGGGTTTGCTATTTTAAGTCTTTAAAAAAATGCTTTGGGATTATGTTCTAAGAATAAAGAATTATTTCTTTTGCATCACATCCCTGGTTTGAGAAGTGAGATCACTAGGACATAGGATAGGAATATTGTTAAAGCTTTCAAGATGGATGGATGGCCCAATGCTCTCCCAAGAGTTTTCCCAGTTTATATCGCCACCAGCAGGAGTTCGCCAAATGAGCTGCTTTGACCATAGTAACACTGAGCTTCTTATTAAAAAAAAAAAACTTTGCCAATTTAATAGGTGAGTCTGGATACCTTTCATCAAGGTAGAATGTTATATTGTCATTTATCTTGACCACCTTTTGGACTTTGTAAACTTTTGAGCTGTAATTGCCATTTTCTGTTGCTCTGGTGTGTGTGTGTGTGTGAGAGAGAGAGAGAGATAGAGAGGGAGAGAGAGAGAGAGAGAGAGAGAGAGGGAGAGAGAGAGGGAGAGACAGGTTAAGTGGCAAAAAAAAATTTTTTTTGACATGACCACACTTTGACATATACATGTTTCCTGTTGTGAAAAAAACTGGGGATACAATATCTGGAATCATAAACAGCCAAATACAGAGGAAACCAAATATTTTTAATCAGAGGGCTTAGGTAGGTATTTCTTGAAGTGGCAGCCTAATCTTGGCCCTTAGGAGGGATAAAAGGTTCCTTGGTGGGAGCCCATCTGGGCATGTATGGCTCTGACCCTGTGCTATGTACTCTGCTTGGCTGGGTACACTCTTAGGCACTGACCAGGAGATGGGGCCACTTGTGGTCCTCACAGGAAGGGCCCCAGTCTTGGGCTTAATGTGCTTCTTGTGTCTATCTCTACCTTCTTTCTTCTTCTTCTTCTTCTTTTTTTTTTTTTTTTTAGTGATAAGAAGTTTATTCTGTACTTCTCGAAGCATCAGGTAGGGGATAAAACTGGAGAGGGCCAGGTTTGGAGGTGTAGGGACTCTGGTAGGCTTTCTTTCTGTGCCGGGGAGGGCACCAGGGACGGCTTTAGGCTGTTCCCCTGGGAGGGCTACCGAGGGGCTTGACTGGGCTGGGGGTGCTGGGGCGGTGGCACTTGCAGTAGGGGGCCCTCGGGTGAAACAGGTTAGGAAGGGCCCCAGACAGGGATTCTTCTGAGGGGTGAGGTAGAGTGCTTCCTTCAGCCAGCCCGGGCGGAGAAGAAGGGCGGAGAGTGGCCACAGGAGTCCAGTCGGGAGCGGAAGAGCTCATTCTGCACAGTTTGGCCCAGCGAGCACAGGGGATTCTTCACCACCAGCTCCACGTACAGCTCACCGTGGATGTGGTGCAGCACATCTCAGATGGGTCCCACGCCCAAGTCAGTATTCATGACAGCGCTGATCCCAGCAGGCATCTCGTACTAATGGAGTTTGTAACGCCTAGTTTGGAAGGCCAGGAAGCCGTCCTTAATGTGTAGTGGGGACATTTTGCTGACAAAGGAAAGGATAGAGAAGAGCATCCCGTACATCAGCTTGTACTCCTCCTACTTGGGGATCTCTGCTTGCTTCTTGCGGTGCCACTCGCAATAATGCAGACACACTCCATTCCGGTCAAACAGGTACAGGTTGTGGACAGTCGTGGGGACTTGCTCCGAGTGCCTGTCACTCCATAGTTCCTATCTCTACTTTCTAGGTCTGTCAGTGTCCATGACCCATACATAGTATGTCTGTTTGCCCCATGAGAAAGTGTTTCATTCATTAATTAATGCATGCATTTATGCACTTATTTACCCAATAATTGATCCATCTATTCATTTGGGCATGTATTCGTACGTTAGCACAGTTGTTTATTTAGTACACATTGATTATAAGAGTTGTGACTTTAAAAAAAAGAGTTATGGGTTTCCCTGGTGGCGCAGTGGTTGAGAGTCCGCCTGCTGAGGCAGGGGACACGGGTTTGTGCCCCGGTCTGGGAGGATCCCACATGCCGCGGAGCGGCTGGGCCCGTGAGCCATGGCCGCTGAGCCTGCGCGTCCGGACCCTGTGCTCCGCAGCGGGAGAGGCCACAACAGTGAGAGGCCCGCGTACCGCAAAAAAAAAAAAAGAGTTATGACTCTTTACTTTGATGCCAGAAGGATTGATGATAATTAGAGACCCAAGTGGGTGCCCAGGGAAAAGTCCCAGGCTCCAGACCTACAGTCCTGTTGCTGGCATTGTGTAAATCGAGATCACGACGGTGCACTGGCCAGCTGTTCTTGGCCCACTAACTTTGACCAAATAAATTCTTGTTTTACTAAACCCAAAGCAAAATGTGCTGACTAAGCCTTCTTTACCAGTAAAATTGTATTACATTTCTTTGTGATAGGAAAGGTTAGAACAACAATATGTGACCTTAACAACTCTGGGCACTGAATCTGCACTATGTCACCTGTGAAAAAAAGAGATGTCCCTTCGTTCAAGTCGCAGAATTTATTTGGCAAGTTATGTACCTTTGTGCTAAGAGATGACGGACATTTTTTTTTTTTTAAGCAAAATTGACACTCCCCATCCTTAAATAGCTTATAATCCAGTTGGAGAAATAAGGCCAGTCCACCTAGAATTATAGATCATAGAACTAAGGAATGTTTTATGTTGAAAGCTGCTAAAGACCCATCTGGTCTGAAATTCCCTACCAAGGTGGAACTCCCCATACAAAGTACTCTGCACTAGAGTCTGTCATACAGCATGACGTAAGTCAGAAAGAGAAAGACAAATACCGTATGCTAACACATATATATGGAATCTAAGGGAAAAAAATGTCATGAAGAACCTCGGGGTAAGACAGGAATAAAGACACAGACCTACTAGAGAATGGACTTGAGGATGTGGGGAGGGGGAATGGTAAGCTGTGACAAAGTGAGAGTGGCATGGACATATATACACTACCAAACGTAAAATAGATAGCTAGTGGGAAGCAGCCGCATAGCACAGGTAGATCAGCTCCGTGCTTTGTGACCACCTAGAGGGGTGGGATAGGGAGGGTGGGAGGGAGGGAGATGCAAGAGGGAAGAGATATGGGAACATATGTATATGTATAACTGATTCACTTTGTTATAAAGCAGAAACTAACACACCATTGTAAAGCAATTATACTCCAATAAAGATGTAAAAAAAATAAAATAAAATAAAATAAAATAATAAAGTCAAAAACAAAACAAAAAAACAAAGTACTTTGCAAATAGTCTTTTCAGCTTTGTACCAACTCTCCTCTGGTGAGGAAACTACTATTAATTTTTTTAATTAGAAAAGCTGTATTTGCTTAATGTAACACATTGAAAAAATATGGCAGAGCATCAAAGTAAAAAGTCAAGCCTCACCTCAAATCCCTCACCTCCCTACCACTTGTTACAGGATGCTAAGAATGGCTATTTTCTATACTTGTACAAACACATATATGGACATTTCCACCCCATACTTTCAATTGTAATCTGTTTTTTAAATTAGATAACATATACAATATAAAAATCAAAGGGTATGAAAGAATATACAATGAAAAGAAAGTCTCTTCTATCCCTCTCCCTCTAGCACCTCAGTTCTGCTCTCCAGAGGCAGCCACTGTTACTACTTTTATATGTATCCTTCCAGGGATAGTCTGTGCGTTTTACAAGTGTGTATGTTATTATTATTATTTTTTTTTTTTGACCACACTGCATGGCATATGGGTTCCTAGTTCCCTGACCAGGGATCAAACCCACACCCCCTGCAGTAGAAGCATGGAGTTTTAACCACTCGACCACCAGGGAAGTCCCTCTTTTTTTTTTTTTAACACAAGTGTTAGCAGATTAAATACAATATTTCCCCCTTAATTACATATCTTAGAAATTATTCCATACTTAGAGCAAGCTGCTTTATTCCTTTTAACAGGTGCATAGCATTTCATTATATGGATATGTCATAATTTAATAAATCAATCTATTTATGACTATTTTGGGGTTCCTGCGCTTTTGCTATTACAGACAAGGCTGCAATGGATAACTTTGACTATACTACATATCTTTCATACGCACGCAAGGTTGTGGGATAAATATCTAAAAGTAGAATTGTTGGATCAAAGGGCAGATACATCTGTTATTTTGATAGATATTGCCGGTTGCTCTCAGTAGATGTTGTATCAATTTGTATTCCATTCATCAACTATGAGAGTACTTTTTCCCCATGCTATTACTAGGATATTAATTACTTTTTTTTTAACTTATGCCAACTTGGTAGGTTAAAAATAGTTACCTTTAGCTGTTTTCATTTGCACTTCTCTTATGAATGAAGTTGAGCATCCTTTCATATATGTGAGAGTCATCGTGTTTATTTTCTGTGTGCCGTCTGTTCATATCCTTTACCTGTTTTTCTATTTTTTTCTCCTTGTTGCTTTTCCTGTAAATATTAGGCTTTATATATACATACGTTTTTGAAAATAAGAACAATTTAAATTGAAAATTTTTTCCAGTTTGTTATTTCTCTTATGACTTTTTTTTTCCATGCAGGAATTTAAAAAATTTTTTTTTTAATTTTTTAATTGTTCAATTCAGTGAATGTAAATGAAGTAAGCCAGACAAAGAAAGACCAATATTATATGATCTCACTTATATGTGGAATCTAAAAGAATGGACCTCATAGTAACAGAGTAGGAGGCTCATTACTAGAAGCTGGGGGTGGGGGAAATGGAGAGATGTTGGTCAAAGGATACAACTTTTCAGTTATAAGATGAATAACTTTTGGGCTTCCCTGGTGGCTCAGTGGTTGAGAGTCCGCCTGCCAATGTAGGGGACACGGGTTCGTGCCCTGGTCCGGGAAGATCCCACATGCTGCAGAGCGGCTAGGCCCATGAGCCATGGCCGCTGAGCCTGCGTGTCCGGAGCCTGTGCTCCGCAACAGGAGAGGCCACAACAGTGAGAGGCCCGCGTACCAAAAAAAAAAAAAAAAAAAAAGATGAATAACTTTTGGAGACCTAATGTATAGCATGGTGACTAGAGTTAATAATAATGTATTGTATTGAAGTCAACTAACATTGTAGATCAACTAACTAAACTAACTATCTATCAACTAAACTATCTATCAACTAACTATCAACTAAATCAACTAACATTGTAGATCTCAAGGGTTCTTACCACCATCACCAAAAAAAAAAAAAAGGTAACTTGGTGAGGTGATGGATTTGTTAATTAGCTTGATTTTGGTAATCATTTCACAATGTATATCCAAACATCATGTTGTTTACCTTAGATATATACAATTTCACTTTCCAATCGTATTTCAGTAAAACTGGGGGAAAAAAAGCTGAAACTTATTAGTATTTTCTTTTACAACATCTTGTTTTATCTATTTATTTTAGTGTTTGTTTTACCATACTGAGCGAAGTTTGTCTATAGCAAGATACAAAAATTCTACCACGTTCTCTTCTAGTACATTTTTTCTTTCACTTTTCACATTCCAACCTTTCCTCCATCTGTAATTTATTTTGCTTTAAACTATAAAGTGGTGATCCAATTGTATTTTTTTTTCCAGATTGCTCTTCAGTTTCCTAACACCTTTTATTGTATAACCCATTTTGGGGAATTCCCTGGCAGTCCAGTGGTTAGGACTCTGTGCTTCCACCACAGGGGGCATGTGTTCAATCCCTGGTTGCAGAGCAAATATCCCACAAACCACCCGGCACAGCCAAAAAAAACAAAAAATCCATTTTTATTTAATTTATTTTTTTGGCCACGCTGCATGGCTTGCGGGATCTTAATTCACTGACCAGGGATTGAACCCGGGCCAAGGCAGCAAAAGCGCCAAGTCCTAACCACTGGACAGCCAGGGAATTCCCTGAATAATCTATTTTTAGAATACTATCTTTATAATAAACTAAATTTATATATATAAATTATATATAAAAATTTACACATATATATGTTTCTGGGCTTTTAATTTTGTTTCATTGATCTATCTGCCTAGTGTTTTTGTTTGTTTGTTTGTTTTTTGTTTTGGCTGCATTGGGTCATCGTTGCTGGGCGCAGGCTTTCTCTAGTTGTGCTGACCGGGGGCTACTCTTCGTTGCAGTGTGCGGGCTTCAGTAGTTGTGGCGCACAGGCTTAGTTGCTCCGTGGCATGTGGGATCTTCCCGGAGCAGGACTGGAACCCGTCTCCCCTGCATTGGCAGGAGGATTCCTAACCACTGCACCACCAGGGAAGTCCCCTGCCTAGTGTTTTTTTTGTGTTGTTTTTTTTTTTCCCTGCCTAGTGTTTAAAAAACAAAATTCAACCAAGTAAATTTGAAGATCTAATTGACTTTATTTGAGTGGAATCTCATCTAGCAACTAGAAGAGCCTCCAAGGAGTTGTACAATATGGAAGGTTTTTATGGGAAGAAGGGTGGGGAAAGGCAGCTATTAGCAAAAGAAAAGAAAAGATTATTTTTAGGCTAGGGCATCTTTTTTTAGAGGAAGGGAGCAGCAAAGGTTTTATCATGCAGATTGGCTCTTCTTGGTTGGGGGAGGCGGGGTGGAAAGGGAGAGGGCCCATGTGACAGATTACCTTACTGGTGCTTGATTGGAAAATTCCAGACTGGTTGGTTAAGATTACGTTTCTGGGAGAGGTTGAAACTGCAATTAGATCAGGTATTAAATCTAGGTTTGGCGTCATGGG